GGGAGAGGGTAGACAGGGGGGGTAGATGGAGGGCAGTAAGGGAGAGGGTAGACAGGGGGGGTAGATGGAGGGCAGTAAGGGAGAGGGTAGACAGGTGGGGTAGATGGAGGGCAGTAAGGCAGGGCATAGCCCGGTCCCCACCATGTTCTCGTTGGTGAGCCGCGTGATCTCGTGCTGCAAGCTGGCCTCGATGCGAGCCTCTGGGGGCAGCTGCAGGTTCTGGGCCAGGAGCTGCTGTTGCCGATTGTTCTCCTCCCGCAGGTTCTGCAGCTCCCCACGCAGCACCTCCAGCTCATTCTCATAGTTGCTCCTCTGGGTCTGCAGCTGCGCCTCCAGCACCCTTGGTGGCGGGAGGAATGGCAGAAGAGAAGAGGGCATGGGGGGGGCCCATCAGTGAAGAGATGTATCACCACATGGGGGCACTCATGATGCAATTAAATCTCTGCCGTGCCAATTTTGAACTGTACAGAATCCGCACCAGTCAGGCCTACCAGCCTTTCGATGTTTTTAATGTCAAAACATGGCTAAAATTTACTGCAGTGGTACTAAACTCAGCTGTCAGCCTGCCAAACGGCTCCAACACTGCGATGTCGCTAATATTTAGGGTGTAATGGACACCACCCATATACATTCCACACCAAATATTTCATGGGAGGTAAATATGTGAAATGTCAAGGCCAACTGCTTCATCCCTCCCACATGTCCTCTAACCCCTTAAATACTGCTTAAAAAGGATATTTGCAGGCATGGAAAAACAAAAAGTAAAGGAGAAAAATTGACCGGACAAGTGGGGGGAGGGGGGGGTACCTGTGGCTCTCCTTCACGCATGTTATCTCTCCTTCACCTTTCATCTGCTGCACCTCCTCCGTGTAGGACAGTGTTAGCTCCTTCGTCTCCTGCAACGATGTTCCTGATATTTCCACATGTGTCGGTGCACTAATGAGCCCACGCAGAGTTCATTTTCACACTGAAGTCAAGCTCAAATATAAAACAGTTACAAATACCTTCTCTTCCTGGGGAGCAGTGCATTGTGGGAGAAAAGAAAATGACAGAACATAGGTGTTATAAAAACACTGCTAGTGCATGTCTGCAACTCCTGTTTCTTCATAAAATCACAGGTTATTAAAATATTTCGAATCGGATGCATGCATTATTCATAATTCTTAGGGTTAATAATAGGTAGCTCAGCTCTGTCTAGTTGGCTTTTTGGATCCTTAGTTGGAATATCTGCCCACCTTCTGCTGCATGGCTTCCTTCTGGTTCACCAGCTGGGAGCGCAGAACTAGAACCTCCTCCTTGCACACCTCCAGCTCCTCACTGGCCGAGTTCAGCTGGTCCAGGAGCAGCTTGTAAGCAGGTGACGGTGCCCCCGTGCTGATAACGGGGGCCTCGTCCATCAGCAGCTGCCGCATCTGGTTAAGGTCGTGCTTCAGCTTCTTGTTCTCGCACTCCAGCTCTTGGCGCTGAGGAACGACGACAGCCTTGTGTGATAAAACCCCCCCATGCCCTGATGACAAGGTAACAGAGACCCTCAGACCTCATGTACATGATGGTCCGCTCCTGAGCAAAAGTGGGCGGACATTTATGACAAAAGAACCACTTGGGATGGGCTTACAAAAGCAGCGGGGAATTTCCATTCATTGATTTACCTATTTTAATGAGTCTAACCCCACATGTGACCTTATTGGTTTTCACTGGGTTAAACCATTCTGTGATAGACGGTGCACGGTATTCCTTTACAAGGTAGGCCTTGTTTGACAAGCAATCATCTTGGCAAAGATGGCATTCCTACAAAGCTGAGGCTCTCAAAAGCTCAGGACTGAGACTGAATGTCTGGAAAACATCTATAATATTTGTATCACAGAGAAAACATGGACTGCGCAGAGGTCTTCACAGGCATTTTTATCATTTTCCTGGCACAAGAAGCTGTCCCCCCCTGTTTAAAATCAGCCGCCATTATAGCAGGGGCTGAAACACTCTGCTGTGCGATCAGTATCCCCGTCTACGTCAATGGAGCTCACAGAGCATGTGTCAAGCTTTGATTTCCTGGGTGTCCACATCGCCGAAGACCCTAGTGGGGGCTTTAACGAAGCTCACCTACCTCCCACATTCTGGGGAATTTCTTCCACTGTACCATCAACAGAATCCTCACAAACTGCTTCTCTGTGTGCTACAGCTGTCACAGAACGGAAGACCCTCCAACAGTGGTGAATTCCGCCCAGCACATCACTGGCACCCAGCTACCCATCAGAGACATCCCTCATCGCCGCCCATGACGAGCGAGAGGCTTAATCAGGATCCCTCGTACTCCAATCACGGTCTGATCACCCTTCTCCCATACAAAATGTGCTACAGGAACCTCCGCGGTTGCACCAACAGGCTGAGGAACAGCTTCTTCCCCACAGCTGTCAACAGTACCATACAGAGTTAACCTTCCACCCCACCGACTCAACACACAACCCACTAGCTCAGCGAGCTAGTAAAACTCCCATGAGCTGCCATCTGCCTGCATGCCTGGGACAGGCTCATGTCACTCTTGCAGGACTCCAAAGCGAGGACAGAACAGGTGGCTGGAGAGGATCTCCTGCTGTCGTCTTTACCTTGAGGGACTTGTACTCCAGCTCTGCTCCACGATACACCTTGAGCTCCTCGTCATCCTGCTGTGGGAGGGGAGAGCATAGCAAAATGATTGGTTTAATGATCGAACTTCTGTTGCCACCACCTTCCCATCCAGCCGTCTCCACACCCCAGAGAGAGACAGCCCCAGCCTGTACCCCGCCTCCGCCCCGCTGGAACTGGCCCTCTCCTCGCTCCAGCTTGTCCTGCTTCTCCTGCTCCAGCTCCTCATCTCTCTTCTGTAGCTTCAAGCATACAAAAAAAAAAAGACATATCAAGGTCCAATGGTGACATCCTCTTGGGATACGGCAAGCAGATGTCGGAATAGGATAATCACACACTTTTAGGTGTTAAAAGGAGGCTGGGAGGGTCACGCCGCCGGGCACTACAGTACCTCTCTCCTGGCAGCCAGGGCACGGCATACGGCTGACACCAGGCAGCGCACCATTGTGGCGTGTACGGCCAGCCAGAATCAATTACACAAAATTCTTAATTTCTTATTTAAAAACTTATATGACTCGTATGTGCGAGTCATCATAAGTGGCACAGGGAGAAAGGGGTGTTTTTCTGGGAAAAGATCACATTTGGTGCGAAATCTGCAGTCATTTTTGGAGCCAGAGCCCTGTTCATCCCAGCATTCCAGCCGCTACAAAGTCCCCCATTGCCCTTCTCAGGTGTGGTGTGACTGTGGTGTGGTGTGTGTGGATCACAAGGCCTCACCTCAAGCCCACGAGAGCCGTCCTCAGACTCGATGAGCTCCGAGCTGTATGACTCGTTGCTGCTTTGGGTGGAGTCGGTCCTCAGCCGGCCCTGCTTGGGGACATGCTGGAGCAAAAGTGACAGACTAGTGTCATGTACCTTTGTCGTTACTCGGCTGCTAAGGCATTTCTTGACCAAAATACTTGGTGTAACTGTTGCATGAATTCACACAGTCAAAAGAGCTATAAGAGAATCCGTCCTGTTTTCAGTTTGCTGGCTACGATGGTGCCCAAAGTCGTTGCAAAGGAACTCTCACCAAGGTCAAGTTCATCTCCTCCCTGAGGTCATCGTAGCGCTCCTCCAGCTGCAGGTGCTCACTGAGCAGGTTCTGGTAGCGAGAGCGCTCCTCGTTCAGCTCATTCTCAAGCTGCCTGGTCTCTTCCTGCAGAACCCTTTGCATCCTCTCTGAGGGGGTAGGGGAGGTGAGGTTGAGGGCTTCCTTACAGCGACTCAGGGCGAGGAAGGCGCAGTGGGAGCAAGCTGCCATGCTAACCGGGTCACCTTTAAGAGCAGCACTCACGTTCCACATTTAGCCACTTTTGATTAAAGAAGGATTGAGTAGATTGATGCTCTGTTGTTTAGCTGCCCAGCTTCACTGGGAGCAGCTGGTTGTTTAGCTGCCCAGCTTCACTGGGAGCAGCTGGTTGTTTAGCTGATCAGCTTCACTGGGAGCAGCTGGTTGTTTAGCTGCCCAGCTTCACTGGGAGCAGCTGGTTGTTTAGCTGATCAGCTTCACTGGGAGCAGTTGGTTGTTTAGCTGCCCAGCTTCACTGGGAGCAGCTGGTTGTTTAGCTGATCAGCTTCACTGGGAGCAGTGTAGGAGGAGCCGCATCTTCCCGAGTTACTTGACTATTGATGCGTTTACTAACTAGTACCTGCCATCAGCTCTGCCTGCTCCTGGATCAGCCGGTTCAGCTCGTCCTTCTCGCTCTTGAGCAGGGTGTTCTGCTCCTTAAGGTCTGCCACCATCTGCCAACCAGGAGCAACACACAAAATAAGGCCCGGCGTAAAGAACGCGATCGCGTCTCTCTGCTCAGCAGACGAAAGACCGAGTGCGGTCAGCATTCCCAGCTGAGCTCAAAAGCCTCCCCACTGAAAACGATGCTGGAAAGCAGGCAAGGCACCGGAGGTGTAAACACAGAGCGCAAAAGGTCACGGCACAAGGAGAATAAACTCTGCTTCAATACATCTCAGTCACACCTGCTGCTTGACACCTACACCCCGGCCAGCCCCGTCTCGCACCTACTCTGCTTCCTCCAGGGTCTTAAACTATGACTAATATCTTGGAGAATCTTCCGGTATAAAATAACCTAGAACTGCCATTCCAATGAAACTGCAATATGAAGGTTCTCGGTACCACTTTATGTGAGTGTGCACAAACAATGTAGCAGTGTACTCTTACTTAACATACCAATTACCCAGAAACCGTCCCTACCCAGTCCCTGCCAAACATTCAATGTAAAGAGCTTTGAGACAATGCAATATTGCAAAAATGCACTATATGAATACATTTGAATTGAACTAAATATGTTACATACTGATTCCATGTTCATTCATCATTAATCAATCATAATGGTTCGTGAATTTCATGCAGTTACTAAATTTGTTCATGAGTTACTAATTTACTTCAAGTAAGGTGTTATGAGGTTATTTAAGAGAAGAGTTGGATCCCAGCAACCCTTGGCACCACTGACCTGCTCCATCTCATCTCGGTACGTCTCCGCCCACTCCTCCAACACGCTCTTCTCGATGCGGAGGGCTTCCAGCTCCTCCAGCAAGGCGCTGATGCGGCCGGCGTTGTTCTTGGCTTCCACTTCGGTGCCGCGCAGACGGGTGACCTCTGCACGCAGCTTCTCGCTCTCCGCTGTGTGCGAGCTCTCCAAGCCGACCAGGCGCTCCGTGATGGCCTTGTTGTCCTTATGCTGTTACGGACGCACAGACAGCCCGAGTCCATCACCCTCAGCTGGAAACTCCGAATAAGGTCACAGCCTTTTCTGTGCTGCGAGACTTTGCCACTTTCCAGGTTCAGCAGAATATTTTAGCGACTAATTCTAAGCAAGACCATTTCTGCACGCTAAATTCGGAGTAATGTGATAAACCTTTCATGAACAAAGTTGCCTGTAGCTCAACAAATGAAGGTGACACTCAAGTAATACATTGTACTATCACCTTAGAGCTAAAGAGTTAACAGGAAATCCAGATATAACGCTGAGTGTAACATTTATGCTCTTATGGCAGAGCAATTTAATTTTGCAGAATATGGAAAAGAAAACAGGAGTAGTTGGGTGAAAACAGTCATGTGACAGCCAGGGAGGAAAAAGAGGAGAAGGAGGAAGGAGGAGGAGAAGAAAGAGGAAGAGGGGAGGAAGAGGAGAAAGTGAGGCCTTTGAAGATGGGTCCCTGGGTGCCTGTTCCCTTGGCCCCTGGGAGCCTGTTCCCGTGGCCCCTGGGCAGTACTGGCGGGGGGCCACCTCCATGGCAACGCACCTGCTCGTCCACCTTGCGCTGCAGCTGCATGATCTTGTTCTCCATGCCGATGTTGAGCTTCTTGAAGTGCTCCACTGAGCGCGCCTCGATCTTCAGTTTCTTGAGCTCGCGCTTGGCCCTCATGCGGCGCACGCAGCTCTGCAGGTAGACCACGGTGGCCAGGGAGTGCTTGTACCACTGCCGCACCATCCAGCCGCGCATGTGCTTCTGGATAATGGTCGCCTTATGCTCACGGAGAAGCTGGGTAGGAGACACAGGGAAACAGCGAGTCAGGGGCTGAGGAAAGGGCACGATCCATGTAGCACCTGGTGATGTAAGTGTCTGGCTGTATAAGGGGGGTCTCACCATCCTCTACTGCTGCCTGGCTGTAAAAGGGGGGTGTCTCACCGTCCCGTGCGGCTGCCTGTCTCACCATCCTCTACTGCTGCCTGGCTGTATAAGGGGCGTGTCTCACCGTCCCGTGCGGCTGCCCGTCTTACCATCCTGTACTGCTGCCTGGCCATGTACGCCCGCAGGATGCACTGGATGATGAGGGCTGCAGCCAGCTGCTGCTTGTAGCGCTTCCTCTCCAAAAACATGCGCTGGTATTTCTGGATAATGATGGCTGCCCGGGTCTGTCGCAGAAATTTGGCCAGGCTGGTCAGGGGGCAAAATCAAGACATCAGTGTGAGTCTAATCATAATATGAAAAATGACTGAATGATTTGATTACGAAACATTATATGTGCAATTTATGTTCCTAAAAAAACTTTTTTTGAACATGCAACCTTCTCATCACAAATAAGATGTCTTGGATACTTTGGTGGTCTATAAAATCCATCTACCCATCTATCCTCATCTCCTTGACCAACACACGGTAGCGAGGGTGCTTGCACGCTCGCACACACACGCTCTCCATTGGTGTGCTGCTCACCATCGCGCCTGGTAACCGCGCACGTGTCTCTGGATGGTGACAGCAGAGTTCTTCATGCGCAGGTACTTCTTACGCTGCAGCCAGCAGCGGATGGTCTTCTGGATGCGGATGCAGGCTGCCCGCAGCTTGTCCGCTCGCAGCTTCTCCAGGTAGGCCACCTGACCCGCGCGGAAGAAGATCTTGTTCTTGCCAAACTGGTACTTGTCCTCATCCTGTGGAAAGCAAGCGAGACGGAACGAAGTCTCTGAATCAGCAGCAGACGACAGCCTGAAGGTCGCAGTTTAGCTCCTAGAAGGGACCTCACTGTGAATACTACCCTTGACTAATAAACATCCACTGCTGTTTGCTACAGTAATACACAATACATACAAAACCTGTAAGTCACTTTCAATAAACTACAAATAGAGATCCAGGTCTACATTAGCTTCACCATTAACTGACAGGCCACAGGAAGTTTAGGCAAGGCTGCAAATCCCAGGTCTGGCCGTCATAAACCTGGCGAATGGCGAATACTGTAAGTCCAAGTGCATGCATACATTGCATACTGTATTAATGCTTGACAAGTAAGCTTCTAATGAAATTCAGCACATTTTGTGTAAGTATGCGATTTCAAACTGACCCCAAACTGGAAATTCTAAATAAATCACTTTTTTGAAAATGCCAAAATGGTGATTTTGGAATGTCTGGATCAATTTACCACTAAGCCTAGATAACTGGCAACTGGGCCTGACTGGTCCCTCCATGCATTTCTGTTGAAATTCCCTCTACCTTGATCAGCTTCTCCAGAACTTTCTTGCATGTTAACTTCTTGTCAGTGAGAACATCCTTCTGCTTCATTAGAACCCGATAACGACTGAAGAACTCTTGATATGTCCACCTGTCAAGACAGAATCTGAATGTGAAAGTCTGATATGTCCACCTGTCAAGACAGAAGCTGAACGTGAAAGCCCAGAAGTGCTTTAACTGAGTTTTATGAATTGCAAGATATAGTTTAGTTAGGGTTTGGGTGACAATTGGTGTGGCAAGTATAAAATTGTATGTGCTGATGCAAAATGGGAAGAAAATGCTGGTCTGCGTGACTATTTCTATTAAGACACCAGAGATAGTGTTCCACAGCACATCTGAGTGTGTCTGTCTGTGTTCATGTGTGTGTGTGTGTGTGGGCCACCTGGATGGGAACCCGGCTGCGGAGATTCGGATGGTTTCCAGGACACCACATGCTCTGAGCTGTTGTACTGCCCTCTTGGGGTCAAACCTGTGAAACACAAAAGTTAATCTAATGGAGGCAATGGGAGGTGACATCTTAGCCAACACAAATTGACCAGGCAGACTGAGACAGCTAAAAAGAAGGTCCACGTCAGGTAAACAATGTGAGATTCATGGACTGGAAGAGTTTTGTTGCACCCGAGACAAGCTATCTCCATGGAACAGGTCCCTTCTGCTCAGAAACCCAAGCTAGTTCCACCAATCAGAATAGAGCCACTCAAAGGGAAAGAAGAGGTACAACTTACGTAAAGGGCAGTTTGAAGTCATTTGGCTTGATACAGCGTACGTAGTGAGGGGTGGTGGCGTTCAGGGTTTCCATCAGCAAATGGAGTGAGTTACGAAACTGTGGAAGGGCAGGGAAGGGTTTGCTTCGCTTCAAAACCAAAGATGCCTGAGCTCCTGCCTTCAGAAACATGGCAGGTCAATGACAAGGCAGGGATTTCCCATCTGAACTCACCTGCAGCCCCACGGTCATTCTGTGCTCCTTACTAGACAGGCCAGGGTGAGTCCTGTTGGGTTTGACGCTGAGCCGAGTCCGGCCACCCGAGGGAGGTCCGACCGGACTAGTGGATTTGTCCTCATCCTGAAACAGCTCTACCAGCAGCTCAAACTGCCGGCGAACAGAGACACTCAGATGCACTGGGATGACCTATCCTGCCTGTCGTGAACGCTAAGGGGACGCTAAGGGGACGCCCCTTGTCCAAGTAAACTTACTCCATGTGAAATCCACGTGTTTAGATGAGCTTCACTGTATGGAATAAATACTTTTTCTGTGCCTAACAGTTACAAATTTGGGAAATTAAATTATTCTGTACACATTCACTATTATGCAGTACATATGGTACATTAATGATATATTTATTATGCTGACTCACCAACTAAATTTGCTATTCTGGTCAACTATTAGCATTCAGTTACAGCCACTGTGTCACACATTAATAATTGCAAGTATAGAGGAGGGAGACCAAATATGAAAAGGAAAACGTATTTAATTTAGGTGGCAAATAACTAGCTGTAAACCAAAAATGATCATTATTGGAGAAAATATTATTTAGAATAGTTCAGGATCATATGTTGAGATTAAAAAAAAAAGAAAGTTTTTTTCACATTTTATGACATAAGATACGATTAAACTTTAAGATTAACCTGGGGGGATATTGGTTTGCATACAGCAGCAGTGTGCATGCACAGATACAAACATCAAAAACTCAAGACCGACAGACAGCACAGCACACAATGTGCAAACAGCATCGTGCAGCATGAATAAAGAGAGAGAGAATTATGCTAAGAGGATGGGGGTGTTTGCTGTTTACATGGCAAATTTGTTTTACAGATGAAACGCTGCCCTGAAATAGCTGGACTAGTACATCAGGGTGGGCAGGGCCTGGTGGGGGCTACAAGGGCTGGTGGGGGCTACAGGGCCTGGTGGGGGCTACAGGGCCTGGCAGCGGGTAGCTACAGGGCCCGGCGACAAATGGCTACAGGGCCTGTATGAAAGATTAAATTTACTACATGAGTGAAGACGTACATGGCACATGCATGAGTCCAGTCCCAGGTACTGAGCCTTGTGAGGACTGCCACACAGACAGACACTGACAAACACAAAGGGAGGGAGTGTGATTTGAGCCGTCAGTCCCTGTGGTCTCTCTTATGCGGATTAAGTGTTACAGCCTTTGTTGCAAAAGATAATTATAGACTTGTGAAGGAAATATAAAGTGAAGAAAAGTTAAGACGAGACCCCTGGAAAGAAAATGAGCTAGTTTGTGCTATATGTGCTTTTCTCCTCTGAACCAGAAAAACAGACCATGTCAGAGAATATCTACCCCACCCACTTGCCCTCTGACCCTAAACATCAGCACGGCATGCTGGGAGCAACTTGACCCCACCCAATTTCCCTCTGACACCAAAACATTAGCATGTCAGACATCAACAATCACATGCTGCAGGATGAGTTAAACTCCTCCCCCTTCACTGTGACCCATACCAGACACACTGTGCTGAGGGACAAGTTTGACCCCTCCCATCTGCTTCATCCCAAGTGCTTCATCCCACATCCATCCTACCCCAGCCTCCTGCACTCCAGAGCAAAAGACCCAACTAGTGTTCAGACCCATGCAGTTCAGCTCCAGAATTCAAGAAGTGCATCCAATGAAGGGTGAGAATGAGAGGTATGAGTGAGTTAGAGTGAGACAAAAACAGAAGCCAAGAACCAGCAGGGGGCAGCATTGTGCAAATGCTGAGGTTTACCTTCTGTAGAGAAAGTTGTCAAGGTGGGGACAACATACACCAATAATGGATGGAGAAAATGCAAGTTACACCGAAAATGAATCCACAGGTTCTCAAATCTCTCAAAAATAATGTATGTTATTTCTCTCATAATATATGCAAAATAAGCTAAGTTGTAATGAATATTGTATTTTTCTGAGTGACAAAGAACAACATGCAACTGCTTCATCCCTGTAATCCCATAATACTGAGGAGAGGAACACAGTAATTCCTAAATGCAGTGTAGAAGCACAGAGAGGCACGTACACAATAAAGCAGTTCATTTGAACATAAACTCCATAATTTTCACATAATATGACATTATCGCTCATCTTGACATTAATGTTGGACTTGGGTTGGTACGATTCTGGTTCCGACCCAAATCTCACTGGAATTGGCTCAGTCTAACAGCTATACACTTGTTGAGGGATGTATTAGATCATTTCTAAGCGCAACTGCTGGGCATGGATGCCGGAAATGCTGATCCTGGAACAGGTAACTACCACCTTACTCGTTAAATGTTGTTTCACAGCAGTGTCTTATTTTAAGGACATAAGATGACAGCAGCGTCAAATGATCCTTCAGCTGCCATTTTCTTTACAATGTGCTGAAAAACAGTCAACAAGCTTCCCCTGCAACCTCTGGCCTGAGACCATGAGATGCTGAGCAGAGCCGTTCACTGAGGATACTGCAGCGAAATGGGGCGCCCAGCCTTTATGTGGAGGAGAGAGGGAAAGACACCATGAGAGTCTCGCCACACCATGGGCAAACACAGCCTCCATCTGAAGGAGGCTTCCATCCAGAGGCAGCACGTTAAACTTAACGGGGGACAATCGACCTGCCGCCTCTCTACCCGCTCCGTCTCCGAGGGAACGCAGCCTGGATCTGAAAGCTGGCCGGGCCTTTTGAAAAGCCCTGTACATCTAAAAGGCTCCTCTGTGAAATTCCCACCGCTTGGTTTTGAAGATACTTCTATATTTAAACTGCTACTCACACCAAGTCCCACATCAGTGCCGCGGCTGGAGAAAATCCAGGAAAAGAGGTGCGCACAGCACCACCATGCACTCCAGTGAAGAACGTCAGATCCTGTCCTACATACTGTACAGCGATACCAGCACTTAGGCACCAATAACAGCAGGCTTCTCATCAAGTGTGTGGAGTGCAGAATAAAGATTTTAAAATTCCTTTGCTTATTATTAATAAATCCTGTGCTGCAAATTTAATACATACTTTATGTATTTAATTAAGTATGTATTATGTGCTGCAAGGTGGGTACATCAACCCTAAATGTACTGGTCATCAGTGCCGTCAACACACTAAATTCATCCACCCACACTAAAAAAATTTAGCAAGTCTTCACCTCACAGAAAGCCATCTGTTTTTCTCATTTCCAACAACCTTTGCTTGTTAAATGCATATTGATAACCCAGATAACATGTCCTCTGAAAGAACAGCAGGTGGCAATGCTGAGCTTAACCTCTGCAAAATGGAAACCTCTTTTTTGAGGTCATCTAACACCAGGCATAAAGTCTTGATTTCTCTAAAAACCATGATCTTGTTTGCCGCTCTTGATGGATGCCTTTCGCTCTGTTGTCCACAACACAGTAATCGGCAAAAGGTGCTTGGGAGTGGGCGACATCCCTACGGACGTCTGCCTGGAGATGCTCACCTTGCTTGCTTTTAGCACGGTGATCTGCTCTTCATTGACAGTGTCCTTGTTTTTCTCCAGAAATCCCTCACACTGATACTCCACCTAAAAACAAAAACAATAACTGTCGTAACTATGCTCTGTCTTTCCACACTGACAGTAGAAGACAGCTCCACCAGGATCTGGCCACAAGATTTAAAGGGCCAGTTCACCCTAAACATGTGTCTTAGAGGGGCTTTAGTGATCTATCCATCTAGGCTGTTCTGCTGGGAGTTGGCTACTTTTGGAGATACCGGCCATAGAAATGTCAGGCTTCTCTCAAATATAACGGGAGTGAATGGCATTCTTTCTGTGGTGATTAAAGCGCCAGAAAAATACATTTGAAAAATTCAACAGCAATGTCTCTTACCAGGAATCATGACCAAGTTACTGAAGATAATCCACAGACTTTGTAGTGAGCAGTTTAATGTAGAACTATTTTCTTCCACCAAACTCCACACACCAATCGTATCACTGCACAGAGGTTAGCGCCGGGGTGCTTGTGCTCATATCTTCAGCGCAGTGATATGGCTGGCTTGTGGAGTTCGGCTCTCCTGCTTACCCACACTGAGAAACCAAGACTAAGGTGGTACCAAAAGCCAAACCCGGGGCCACACAGGCAAGCGAGCAGGATGGACCTTGTCCGCAAAATGCTGCACGATGAAGGCCTTGTTTGACAAACGAGGCTTCTCGAAGAGGGAGGACATCTTCAGGTGCGTGTTATACAGCTTCTGAGCCCATGAGTCATCTGAGCCTTTGGGCATCTGCAGAGGAAGAGGAGTAGATATGTGTGTGTGTGTGTGTGGCGGGGGGGGGTTGCTCAAAGCAATCCTGACACAAGTCAGCCTGCCCCCCACCTTGCACTCTTCATCTAGAAGGTCCAGGATGCCCATCTTGGCCTCGATCAGGTTGATACAGGGCTGGTTGTCGTAGAAGTCAATGAGCGTCCAGGGGATCTGCTCCTTCATGTACTCCTCCTGCTCCAGTTTGAAGACGTGCTGCAGGAGTCACAAGGAGCAACTTTGGCAAAAGCACCACGACGTTGATCCACAGCTACCCAGAGTGCTGAGGCTGTCATATAGGGCAATACATAACCCAGAGAAACCCACTACTGATGCTGCTGGACAGAATGCTGCATTTGACAAAGAGTAACACGACCACAGATAGTTATACAGCAGGACAGGGATCCAAAGTGGACCTGACTGGTCACTGGGATGCACAGCATGATAATTACTAAGTCCTTTAGCTATAAAAGGAACATGCATTGGATTAGCAGGTAGCTGAGAGGGAGCAAAAACGCGGACCATCTGTGGGTCTCGGAGGACCAGATTGGGAAACACCTGATCAGATAACAGATTCTTATTTATCTACATCTCCCATTTTCCAGGTGCCAGCAAAGTGCAGGAGATGGATCAAGAGATGCCGACTCACCATGTTAAACTGCTGCTGCAGCTTCTCATTGGCATAGTTTATACAGAACTGTTCAAAGCTGTTAACCTCGAAGGTTTCAAACCTGCATTGAAAAAAAATAATGAATGAGACTGTGTGAAGGTGACAACACAAGACTGCCATTTATGGTAAAGCTTATAGATCTTTAGCTGAATTGTTTTTTGAAAAGTGTTTCTGTCATCAGTGAGAGGTACAAAGTTAAAGAATCCAGACTCTGATGACAGAGCTTGATGAGAATAAAGTTCACGAAGTGTAATGTCACAATTAATGCATGTTTGTAAAGGAGCCGCAAGCCTGTCACTGAGGTGCTGGTTAGTGAGTGGCGCACATGCATGCGGTGCACACACCCGTAGATGTCCAGCACCCCGATGAAGGAGTGCTGTCTGACAGAGGACTGCAGGGCCCTGTTGACACGATCCACGATCCAGCTGAAGAGCTTGGCGTAGATATGCTTGGTGAGGGCGTCCCGGGCGTTCACAGCCTGCAACTTGGGCAGGGGCTTGATGTACGTCTCTGTGGTGGTCTTCAGCTTCTTGTGGCACAGCCAGTGGGCCATGTCCTGGTACGTCACACCCAGGAGCTCACAGAACACCATCAGGTGGCTGTTGTTAGCCTGGAATCAGAGCACTAAGTGTCCGTCATGGACTGGATCATCGGAGACTATCACCACTAGTATTTCACAGAACCAGAGTATTCTGCAGCACCAGAGTATTTTACAACACTAGAGTATTCTGAACCTCTACAATATTCCACACCAGCAGAATATACTACATCTGTCTAACTGTACAGATCCAAGGGCCATTTCACTATGCAGTGGCCAGAAGACCCATTTAACACCATCAATGTCCAAATGACCCACCCCCCGACACATGCACCCCCCACCTGGATTGTACTGCTATCAGCATCCCGGTCCTTCACTTCCACGTTGCCGAGATGGAGAATGGCAGCCAGGACCCGAAACACCCCCATCTGATATGAGTCATTGATCCCTAAAAAGTTACAAAAGTGCAAATAAAGCAGGTGGTTATTTCCAGCCAGCTGATAAAATCAGCCAACATTAAGGCTCCAGGAATTTATCAGCGTTGGTGACAAACCCACCCATGGAGAACCACTGATGTCTCTTAGAACATTTATGAGGAGAAAAGGGAATCTGACAGTAGAAGATCCAGAGAGGCTATACTTCCTGCGAAATGACGCACCAGGCCTAGCCAGCTATTATTAGTAAGTGTTACAGCTCACTCTATGGCTAGGCCATGACAGAAAGCCTGTGTAGTTATACAGTACAGTAGGTGTAGTACAGTACACCTAACCCTAAACCTAACCCTAACCTTAACCAACCCAAAACCGGCACCACGAAAGAGAAAAACAAAAGAGATCCATGTCTTGCTGTCTCGGGTGCTTCTGTTAAGTTTAAATGTAAAGTATTTTATCCGTTTTTTTTTTGTGTTTGTTCAACATTGTAAAAGTATGTATTATGTGGTTGCTTTTAGGTTAAGCTATGGGCAATTTTAAATTTTTTGTGTTCTTGCTAAAAAACCTACTGGTGTCTAAATTTTTTACGGTATAAAATTGCATTGTCTGACATGATTAGCTGACCACAGGTGACTTTCCATTACCCAGTAAGGTGAAAGCGTTTCTGGTCATGGACATCTCCTTGGCGTCGTCCACACCCTCGATAATCGGGCTTCGACCTTGGTTGGTACACAGGAAGTCCCCCGCACTGCCTGGGGAGGAACACTGATCATCGGCGGTCTGGCTCCTTAAGGATTACGGACCTTTCATCTAGCATCTACAATCAACTGTCTAGCTAAGCTAAAAGGATCTGACAGACCCGACTGTAACAAGGGTCTCGTGATCTGTCCCACTCCCAGCAGGGGGAACCCACCGTACCTAATTTAAGGGCCTGAAACTCCGTCAAGTGGGAGGAGGCACAAAGCTGGTAGAAGATGTGGTAGTTCCTTTCATCTTCTGCCTGGGGGGAACGAGGATTCAGACAGGTAGTTAGCTTTGTTCAGCTACTGTCGCTACAACGAGAAAACATAGTTTGCCTCACTGACAACACAAAAAGTCATCTGTTAAACTGCAGTCAGCCTTACAGTAAGAAGGCATGATGTTACACTACCACCCAAATGACATGCAGTCAGTAGGCCAAAGAGCCAGAGACTGTACACTTATATGGAGCATTAATATCATATCAAAGGCTATGTCCGAATTCAGGGGCTACATCTAAGGCTGCATTCAAGGACGGAACGCGCCACAGCGATGCGACAAGGCTGCCCCAATTCAAGGGCTCCTTCAAATCTGGTTTTCTTTTGAAGAGTTTGAAGAGAATCCACCGGTTGGATCCATCACAGCCCAACATATCCCAAGATTCATTGCACGGACTTTCGAAGGAGGCAGCCGACAAAGATTATGCAGACCGTGTCTTCCAAGGATGCAGCTCCTGAGCTCGGACTCAGCCAATGAGAGTCACACCGTCATCGAAATACACCAGTGCAACGATTCAATATTTTTTACTTAATAGAAAACAAATGGAAGCTGAAGACCTTGGTTATGCATATATTAAAGGGGATTAAAGTCAAAAGTGCCAGGGGACAGATGGCACGCTCACCTGGAATACCACCCGGGATTTCTCTAGCAGGTAGGTTCTCATATTCGCTCCAATGATGCGGTGCCTCTTGTCAAAGCCGATCTCAATGTACTTCCCAAAACGACTGCTGTTGTCATTCCTAGTGGTCTTGGCGTTTCCAATGGCCTGGACAGAAAGGACACACACACACACACACACACACACAAAATATCTTTGCATATTTATGAACCATACATAGATCAAGGTGATAGGTGCCTAAATGAAATGCTGTTATTAAGCGGAGTATCATGTGGCTATAATGAATAACTGAATGCAGTATGTGCTCTTTTGGGTCACCAAGCACACCAGGCCCCACTCTGAGGCTGTTCTTGTGCAGTTTACTGTGCTGGGAAATTATTCATACAATTTTTTTAGGCTCAAAGTCATCTGATGGCCTAGTTCAGTGCTAGGAGACCGGGGAGATGTGAGTCTCTCTCTCTCTCTCTCCCTCACTGGAGGGACAGCGACATCAGCAGGAGCGGCCTGGCAGTCCCCCGAGAGGCCATCTTCCTTCCCCCCCACCTGCCTCTCCCTTCCCACAATGCCTCGTTCTACCAGGACCCTAGCTTTACTGTCACCACAACACAAGACAGTGGAGATTTTGTGACCGCACTAAACGAGAAAGACGTATCACAGCTGCCAAGTGCATCATCAATCCATTTTTCTACAGCTCATCCAGTTTCTGTTTTCGTATTTCAGTATTATAAAACACATTTTGAATTTGAGCGGAACAGTCTATTGCCAGATTCCCTAGTGGCACAAATTAAATGATCTGGCTGGTAAGCAGAGTCTTATTCATGGCAGATTATCCAGCTGGAGCCCGTTACCTCCATGATGGGGTTGGATGCCAGCACCTTCTCCTCCACGTTGGCCTCGCTGGCGGACCCGCTGACCGTGGCAAAGTAGCGCATGGCGTACTTGGCAGAGACGGTCTTGCCCGCGCCGGACTCCCCGCTGACGATGATGGACTGGTTCCTTTCATCCCTGAGAAGCAGGTGGCATGGATGAACAGTGGAACAAGATAAAACAATAAAATTCCTGCATGCACATAACAGTTGGGGGCAGCAGGATTTAACGAAAGGGACATCTGGCTAAAAGATTCTGGTAATTTCTGAACGGTTGTGCAGAAGTTAAAAAAGGCAGCGTCGCCATCTGTATAAGCAACTTTCTATAAAAAGATCACCTGGAAGGCAACTAAACATTACACCTGGCCTTGGGGAATCTTTTCCCCAGGAGGGAAAGGCAGACCAAAATCAGCCAAGCGACGACATACGCACATAGAGACAAAAATCAGCAAAGTGACATCATACGCACACAGAGACGAAAATCAGCCAAGTGACATCATACGCACATAGAGACAAAAATCAGCCAAGCGACATCATATATACACACACATACAGATACAGATAAACCCTACAGTGCTCTTTCAACAGAGTGAAGAATTAAGCAAAAAATGAGCAGAAACACCAAAATGTGACCAGAATAGAAATAAAAATACTGTATATTTTGTCTCTCTTTTCAAGCCAAAAGAGACAGTTCAAAAAGTTAACTTCAGGTCAGGTGGTAATCCCAAAGGAACAAAACAAGGGGATTTAAACCTGCAACCTTCTGGCCAGGTACCTGAACCAGGTCTCGACCATGCTGTAGAGCAGCAGATGCTATTGACTTTGAGCTCTGAGCTGGAGGGATATGGTCTGCCCTGCCTCTTTAAGACACATCTCACTCTCCGTCCTCAAGGATGTACCTCTCCTCCGGAGGGAACGTTTAAAAACTGACGCCGGTGCCTATTTAGGCCAGCCTCATTGTGCTGACAATGTGACGACCTACAAATCTTAACCTACAAATCTTGCGATGCCAGGAATGAAGCCCCATGCCGACAGTCTGATGTGGCCAGCAGGTCTTAGCGACGCACACAGACAAAGGACATGTTTCAAAGCGCGGAGGGTCAGAGGGTCTGCATATGCAGCCAACCTGGCCATCTGCTTGTAAGCCTCCTCTGCCACGGCAAAGATGTGGGGATCCATGTCGCCCATATTTTGGCCGCTGTAGGCGTTGATGATGTCTGTTCCATAGATCGGGAGGTTTTCGTAGGGATTGATGGCCACCAGGACGATACCTGCAAAAATATCGCAAAGCTCAAATGAATCGTGCAAGATCCATACTCCAAATCCAGCCACAACTATGGAAGCCATATTTCAGCGGAATTATTAAGGAGAGCATTTCCCACCCGTGTGAAAAGGCAGATGAGCTCAGCTGCTCATCAGGACACTGAGACTTTGAACCTAAAGATGTCAGCTCAATGCAAAGAGGAGCCACACGTACCGCAGTAAGTGTAGATGAGCTTGGAGTCGATGAAACGCACTTTGAGGTTGTGAAGGACGGCAGGTTCATGGAGGTAACTGAGAGCGGTGAGGTCATTCTCGCCCACCAGAATGTCAGGGTTCCGAAGGGGGGGTAGGTTCGGCGCTTCGGGGTCCAAGGGATGCTCGACATGCTGAAAAGCACAGAGCGGTTTGGTATGAGTAGCCTGGAAAAGTGCCATGCTGCATTATTCAGAGTGAAGATGGGCTCCTCTACGGGTTCAACTGCGGAGCATAAACATGACACATCGGGTAGGTGAGCGAGGCCTACAGAACATTTCTGCATGCATAAACCACAACACCCTCTTCCTACAGAAATGGACAGAGGATTATGCGGAGTGTGAGCGGCCACATATCACCATTCCATCCTCCAGCAGCAGATGCAGCACAGAGTCCCCTTGCTTGTAGTCCCTGGTCAGCTCTGCAGGCTTCCACACGCCATCTGAGTCGGGAACCCACACTCGGGCATACTGTAGAGAAGAACACGAGTCAACGGTCAGAGAGCCCTCTGCTACAAAAAGTTAGGCAAAGGGGCCAAAATGCAACCAAAAAGGTCAGAGTTCAAACCCGCCAAATGTAGCGAGATGATCCACATGCAGCCTACAGCCAGCCATACAACAGCTAAGCTTTATACACTGCAGTCTGCCCCTTCAACACTTATTTAGCTATATTACAAATAAGGGTTTTCCCTACAAGAGGCTAATGCTAAGCTAGCTATGTTTAGTACCTGCATGAGAGTGAGGCAAACAGAAAACGGGCAGCGTGAGAGAAAGCTGCAGGTCAGGATCTAATTGATTTCAGGAACATGCCATCATAGGATTTCTCCTTAAGACAAACTTGAGATGTATGCAGACTCTTTACAGGACACTTCACATGTGCAAAGGTGCAAGCGCTGTGTGACAGGACAGCAATGGGGACTTATGACTTTTTAGGGATGGGTTAAATTGTACTAGGTAACCATGGTGACCGCTTTCTGACTCTTATCAGTGGCCAGATTATGGGGGTGTTCACAGTTCACAGCACTCGTGGTCACTGGTTACCGTAGTTACAGCCTAACACGCTGGCTATTACAGATAACTGGCAGTAACTATGCCTACAGCACTCCTTCTTGCTGGTTACCATTCTGATAGCCCTGCTTACCTCACTGCCTAGTTCCCCCCTATTCAAATCTGGCCCTCGATTCCAAATCCAGGCCTTGTTTTCAAGTCCCCCAGGTAGTTATCTTAATAATTTCTAGCTCTAATTGGCCAGAGGCTTCACAACTGGTTCTCAGGTAAAGGAAAGCTGGAAAAACAGCAGTGCTCAGCCCTGGAGGACCGTGATTTGAATAGCCCTGGCCTAGTCCCTAGTTAACGCGGTGATAACCCAACTCACAGCACTGCCTGTAACAGGTTACTATGGTAACAGCCCACTGGGTCACTATGTGACAGGTGACAACAGTTACAATCCAGATGAGTCAAAATCTACTAGCAGTACATGTACAAAATTACAACTGACTAAAGCAGTAAAACATACAGGCAACAAGACAGAGGCATGCTGGGAAAGCTGTCTGCATGGTTAACTGAGCCACGAGCACCACAGGGGAGAGGTCACCACTCTGTGTCACAGGAGTCCATCTGCTTGTCTGACTCTTTTTGAACCTTGTCACTCCATCCCTAAGTGTCTGACTACATCAAAGATCCCTTCTAACTTTACATGACAAGACCACTTATATTAATCACATGACCTGGAGGGGCAATGGGACCAATTGGCCGTCAGCAAGTCACCGCTCTAACCTCATCCCATCAGTATCAAGAGGATGACCATTTAATGGCCACATGTTTATGATGGTTATCGTCAGGAGAATATCCTTCTGTCCAAACAATTACAGTATGACGAATAAGCTGAAATAATCCTCACTGCACACAGCAAGTCCAGTCACCTGTCAGAGCTGGCCTTGCCTCATCCTCTGATGGCGGTCGCCATGAACACACGAGAGCACCGTCCATGAGAACAGCACTGAAAGTGTCAAAGACTAAGTGTGAAGCTGCACGTGCTAAATCTGCGTCTCTGCATCTTTTCGTGCGTCGCTGCCCGTCTCAGTTGCTAGGAGCCTGGATGATGAAGCATAATGCCCAGAGAAAATGTCCAACCTCCTCCTTCTGATAGATTTACAGCACAGCATAGAAATCAGAGAGTCTAGGAGGAACTGTGCCAAAGCAGAATCCTCAAAAGAAGCCAGAGGGAGTTGCAGAGAGCCAAACACGCACCGGGGCACAGAGCACCCTGGCTGAGGAGGAATTACATGACACTGGAGAGAAGAGAAGCGAGGAGGTAATCCCTTCGCAAGAGCCCACCCCCAGCTCAGGGGTCATTCTACAAGCTCGTAACCTGGGGTCAGTCTCCAGCATGTAAACCACACACACCTGGACACCCAGGGGTCAGCAGTGGCTGGCTGGTCTGACAGCCAGAGAGCAGCTTCCTGTGAAACGCACAGAAGCAAGGTCCTTATAAAACATCACACAATTTTATAATCTATGTCACACAACCGCAATAAATAACCCTGCAGTAATCATCATAAAGCTTTCAAATTTCATTCATCATTGTTTCTCTCTGGTGGACCTTAATTGAAACATGGTGGATCAGAATGCATTATATTTGACTCCACAACAACTCTAACATGATTATAAAAAGATATACAGGAGAAAACTTTGCTATTACAAAACAAAGCAAAGTGAAATGATATAGGTATTGAATTACACCAGATATACTGTGCACCTCTCACATTGCAGAGTTGGAGTAAATAAGTGTAAATGTCCCAATTAAAACAAAGACGAGAGGTCAGGCCAATAACATTCTTAAAGGACAAATGGAGGTGAAGGACCTTGGCACTAGCATTTGGTGAAAATTACTCCCAGCTTGGTGAAGGGTGATCTGCAGATTATGAACTTACTACCACTGAGCACCACTTCACTCTCAACTCCAGACCAGCACCGGTTTCTCTCTCCACTCCTCCGGTTTTGTTTATGTTTGACATCACGGAGAATTAAATCTGTTCTCTCCATATTCACCTCAGCTGTATAAATCTTAAAACCGGAACGTCAAAGCTTTGAAAAATGAGACGAATCTGAACCTGACCCTCTCACTAGGCAGCCCTGTTTCGTCCACCTTTATCCGGGCTTTAGGTGGGCCCAGGTACGGCATGGAACAGCAAATGGACCTTTGAGTACCGAGGAAACTTCTTAGGGCACTATGGGTAAGATGAGCCAAAATGGACCTGATGCAGAATGGAGAACTCAACTCCAATCCTCTTCATAAAGCAGACAATAATGAAACCATTAAAGTCAAAGACTAAGGCAGAAATGTCAGTCAGTCATCAGAATGCAATATGTATTTACCTGTGAGGTAAACTACTACAAAAATAAGACTTTCACAACAGATCCATTGTCACCATTACTTGAACTATTTAAATCAGGGGTACCCAATCCTGCTCCTGGACAATCCTGTCCATTACATTACACTCAAAGCCATCCAGCTTCCTATGTGCTCCTCTGCCTGCCAGAACAGTTCAATCAAATGCCTGTTTACCCACTATGCTCTGCAGAACCCCTTGCTGGAAAGAGAACATCATTCTACACACCTGAAGCACCCCTCAAGGAGCATATTGCTGGTTGTTTGTGGTTCATCATTCTTCAAACCTGCATTTTCCCCACTTACACCAAAACGTCGAGGTGCATTTCCGAAGTAGTGCGTCCATCTTGCTCTTACATTCGGAGCTAGACACGCCTCTGTAGCTGCTGGGCCTGCATGTGATGTTCAGGATTGGGGTGCGTGTTGCTAAGTGCTTCCCCGCCTACAAGGCAGGGTCAGGGCGAGCAGCGTCGTGGGAGGCAGCCTGGAGCGGCGATGCAGGATGAGTCAGTGCAAAGCTGGCATGTCGCGTATAATCCAAAGTCTAATAAAGGAATTCAGTATGTGCTCTGTGATTTCAGCATCCCTCCTAGCATGATCCCTTTGACAGCACTAGCTGAGGACCAGCCCAGAGAGGCTTTAAAGGCCGTAACATACTCACTACACTGTCAGAAAAAAGGAAACATTTGTACCTTTGAGGGTACAATTACTTGTCACTGGGGCTGTACCCTCAAGGGTCTGCCAGTTGCACCCTAGCTGTAGATAAACGTAGCTTCAAGGTATAGAATTTTTTGTGCCATTGGAGGTACATTATTGTTGTTTGTACCTTGGGGAACAAATCTATACTATAAATATAAAAATGTACCAGGGTCGTATGTTTTTTCCTGACTGTGTAGAAATGTAACAACTTGGTCGGAGCAGCAACCTGACAGGTGACTTTTGCCATCTTATCGCATCAAACAAGCCAATACAAGTTCTACAGGAATCCCTTGTGCCGCTAATAATGCATTATTAAGCTGCAGGATGGCAGGCATTCAGGAACATGTCTACATCACCTCTTTGCCAGTGAGTCCCAGCCCCAGTCCACGTGCGTTTTTTTTTTTTTTAGATCTCTTTAAACTGCTAACAACCTCTGTGCTGAGAGAGAAGGTTAAATTGGGTCTATTAGTACAATAATTAGTTCAGTCAATCCAAGTACTTAAGCACTCAACTGATGATTGTACACACCACGAGCTGATAGGTCCAGAGCAAAACCCACCGCTGGACCACAGGAACCTTCTCTCGTTCCTCCTCCGAATTTTAAACCTGTCTTACAGACCTCCAGCTCAGCCATGGCGGTACAGCGTGATTTTAGGCTGCCCTGCTTCACCATCACACATGAGCTTCTCTTTAAGGAGCAGGACACCCGAGACGTTCATGCTGGCTGCTCACGGTAACCTACTAAGATGTAAAAAAAAAAAAAAAAAAAAACACGGACTGTAACCTATAAACTAAACATGGACATACGAAGCCACATTCCTCTTCCTGAATGGAGTTGCTGAATACATCATGTGCTTTGTGGTTGATGTAAATTGAATACTCTGAGAAACCCCGTTTATGCACCGAACGCATATCTACAAAATAATACATTAATAAACAAGCGGATCTGTAGCATCAGCGTGCCCCCTTTTGCGTGTCTATAATTGGCACAGCAGCCAACTTTGTATCAAATCATTAATTTGCATTAATCCCACACATTCAATCACGCCAGCATTTTCTAAACATCATCATCACAGATGCGATGGCCATGGAACACCGCTCCTCACGAAAAGAAGTTTGAGTCCATTTTTTTCCAGTTCAAACACATTCATATGAATCACCGTTAACTAGGAAAGGGCGAATGATCCATCACCTCAGCAACACTCACAGAGACACATAGAAGCACTAAAGAGAAACCGTTCAGGGTACAACGAAGCGCGTCTCGGCACCACGATCATCCTGAGGACTCTGCCGTGACCCAAATCCAGCACCCAGCCTTTAGGTAACAAACTATCCCACAGCAGCCGCACAAAACCAGCCGGGGATATACACGCTCCCTCTCAGGTTACAGGATCCAGGCAAAAAAATCACGGATGCAGCGCTGTCCCCTCGTCCAACCCAAATCAATATAAATGTTTCCTCTAGTTTCGCAAAATTTACAAATGAGTGAAGCATTTTAACTACGTAAATGAAGGACCGTGCATACCCAGGTGGCACCGAAGAGTTAATAAACACCAAGACATCATGCAACACGATGAGCTGCAATCGTCATCTCAGGCTCAAAATATAACTTATATAAAACTGCATATATGTAGGTGTTACCTTAGTATACAATTCAAACGCTGCCATGACCGCCAGCTTAAGACTTCATCCAATCTTCACTAGCAGAGCATCAAGCGGGCACTTCATTCATCTGAGTTTTTATTTCGTTGTCTTCGTACCTAAAATGACACTTTGAAACGGAGCCCGCCGCTATTTCCACATGCATGAAAATGTATCTGTGTTAGAGTCTCTGTGCATTCTGGGTATGATGGATAAGGGGATACAGCGGAGACCAGCGCTCTTATGGTTCCCTATTAAACGGGTAAGGACCTCCCCCTAGTGGAGGGAAGCTGTCATTATTCGGGACGCGGGGTAGCGAGCGCTTGTTTGACCGCTTTAACACTGGCATGTCAAAACTATCTTTGATTATCAAAATCCAAATGTATTTTCCACGAATAAGAACTGACTCAATGAAATGCTGGCCTTTATGTCCTACCCGTCTTTTAATTTACTAGCTTTTCAGGTTTAATTGAACGGTCTACTGAATTAATTATACGACGCAAATCTGGTTTATGCATTTGCTAATTTTAAAGCGATCATTATACTGTTGAACCAATGTTAACTCCATTGTGCTTAACCTTGTACGTTTCAAATTTAGACTTAAGATTTACATCAAATGACATTCAGTCGTTATTTCCAATCTAGCCTTGTTCAGTTGTCAAGGAAAGGTAACAGGTATTGATGGCCAAAATTCAAATTCAAAAAACTTTATTTGTCCCCTAGGGGCAATTAAGGCACACAGGGTAGTTGACGCTCAATGCACCATTTGCCTTATTTATTTATTTGCCTGCTTAGCTATCTTTACCAGGACGTCACATTGAAATTAAAATCCTTTACAAGAGAGACCTGGGACTTTTTGACCCCATTAGATAGTTCTCTTAGTTTGCGTTGGGCATGCTTTGTGCATTTTTTTTTTTAAATATAGAGCACCACCTAGTGGGGTCAAAAAATACAGCAAATGGTTCATGACATTTTGCCCATCACTACTGAGAGTTCCTTCCAAAACCATGCTCAGGATAAAAAGCTGGAACACAGATGATATTGTCTCACCTTTGAATTAAGTAAAACATTCCTCCCACTATTATTTGGGAAGTGTGAGCTTTCCGTTTTAAAGCAAACAGATGCATCATCTGAGCTGTTGGAAATGAGTGGTTGACGCTTGTGGTTAACAGGAAACAAGGCCCTGGGTGCAGAAAATGTCAAGAATCAACATTTATGCAAAACTATTTTATTTACAAAACAAAATGGCACCAAAGTGACAGTACAGTCAAATGCACGTGCATACTTTCATGTAGTGAGTTAAACAAAACCTCAGCAGGCCTGGTCTCAGGTCAGTTTTTAGCACACAGTTGACTTATTTCTCAGGGATGATCTCAGTGGTGGACAAACATTGTCCAGGGAAGCGCGTGACCAAGACAGCTGAATGAGAGTTTAAGGCCATTTTACAATCTGACAGAGGTGGACAAAGAGTACCTCTCAATCCAGCATCACGTACGCTCATTTTAGCCCCGAGCAAGCAATTCTTTTGGTCTGTTCTTTAAGTGTACATTATACATATACATACATACATATATGTGTGTGTGTGTGTGTGTGTGTGTGTCTATATATATATATATATATATATATATATATATATATATATATATATATAAATAAAAGCGCCATTAGAATGAGATGTGGGTTGTTACGGAGAGTTACAGCAAACCATTCAAGCACATACCTCCATAATTTAGGGGAAAAAAAGACGAGGAATGATACAGTAAAATGTAAAACCTTCTAAAACGTCATCTCCAGCTGTGCACACACACACTTGCAGTCACTTACGCTACGGTACATTTTAAGCTACTAGAAGAGTCCTGCCTGGGATTCCTCAGCCACTCAGCTCTAGTCCAGGTACAAATCCAAGTCTTCTGGAAGGTTATAGTTACAAAATTAGGGAGGGGAGGGGAAATCAGGAAGGAGAGCGACATGAGAGAGCATGGAGGTGCAGGGCAGCGTGGTTAGAGGGATGAGGGATGAGGGCGGAGGAAAGCAGCTCCGCCAGGCTGTGCGTCAGACAGCCAGCTTGCTGGCCACCAGGGACGGCTTCCTCTGGGGCAGGTCCTGGGGAGTGGGAATATGGTCACCCGTAATCTCCGTCTTCTCAGCTGTGGCCGCGGGCAGCTGCTTGTTCTTTACTTTGGCCTTGGCCATGTTGTAATCACCCGAGTCAAAGTACTTTTGCTGTGGAGAAGAGGCAACATGGCAGTGAGATAGAGAGATACTATGCTGTGACTAGTCTATCTAATAGTAAGACCTCTAGCTAAGTTGGATGTTGATAACACTGTCTGAGGTCCAGCTGACGGCATGGGAGTTACAGCCATCAGGTTAGGAGGCAGGACCCATGTGTCTCTCACCCCCTTCTGGAGTCGCTTCCTCAGGAGATCTGAGCCTCCCGGCTTGGCTCCCAGGTTGGGGTACCGCTTCTTCAGCTTGGCCTCCTCCGCCTTCTCTGGGCTGATCACCTTGTCCTCCATCTCCTGCAGACAGACATGAGGTGAAGGCTTCACTCCACAGGCTTGGAGCTGCCTCAAATCACTTTAGAGACCCCCTCAATCTCTTACCCCTCTGCCATAAAATATGTACTTTTGTGAGCAAACCGATTAAGGGGAGATCACAGGAACATTACCAGCAGAGCCCAGGATGCATTCAGGTAATTCAGCTCTTCACAACTGCCAAGGCTCTGCCTCCTGATATCACCAAAAACTTCCACAGAACTCAATAACAGAATTACAAAGACTGATTTTTCCCCCACACAGAATCTGGCAAAGTTAAGACTGGCTTGGCCTGAGCAGCATCTAGTTTTCATATCGTCATATGGTGTGTTGGCAACATTTTCAAAAAGCAAAGCTATTCCAATATTTTGAAATCTTGGTGATAAAATTCACCAAATCGAGCGGGGATATTCCCAAAATACCTCAGTATACAAAATTACCCCCAAAGACTGATGTAAGGCTTGTTTTCCCAGCAGTATTTTCACCTAATAAAATGCCAAAACATTGTTCACTCTGAAAACTGACTAATCGGTTAGGGTACACATAGCGAATACAATCACACATTTAAAAAATCAGTGGGTACTGATGAAAAAAATTCAGTAGCGAAACATGACAAAGGACAGAAGGCCACCAGATCTGGCCGCTGCATTTCATACAACCCAGAGGTACATTTCAGCCAACTCACCTGAAATACTTATTATTCACAACTCATTCAGACAGAACAGCATGCCGCCCAAAGTCGTATCAGCTGCCATTTCGCTTGTTACAGCCCATTACACAGTAAGAAAACACTGACAATTTCCAGTGAGAAAACACGTGCAGTTAAAACACCAGAAATGAGCGGGAACTGAAATGTTTCTATGCTTTGGGAGCGGTATGGGACCGGACCTCAGGTCAGAACCAAACCGACACCTAGTACCAGTGATTCTCATACATTACGCCAGGTATTCAGTAACACTAATCTAGAGTTAACACGTAGTGGTCCCCATAATCAAGGCCTGGGGTACGATCCAGTGATAAAATGTCATGCAGATGGGTGACGTCGGCCATGCTCGGGGGGTGTATATCGCCATTAACACACAGTAACATTTCTCAATGCCAGGGGAACAGGAACCCTAATTACAAGCCTTTCCCTTTGAGAAGCGGCATGCAGGCATCTGCATTACCAAAGTAACGTCCCCAAATCCCGGGGCCAAAAGCCGCCCTGATCAGACGGTTTCCCCGCCAGAAGCGGCATGCAGCAATCTGCATTACCAATGCAGCACCTCTGACGGCGGACATGCCTACGTCAACCAGACGCAATTACTGACATTATGGCGCTACATATGCGAACAGTTCCGTTAATCTAGCTAAACCGGGGATTAATCACTGGCATCTAATGCATCTGCAGACTGGTTACACTGAGGCAAATGCGACGACTTATGCGACAATTCTCCACACGTTAACGTGAATGATGCGCCAAAATCGAACCAGTACCTAACTAATACTTCACCATGACACATGTACGACTCCGATCAATCATAAATGATCGTTAACACATGACCCAGGGCCAGCTGGCCGCTTTAATACCGCATACTGTAGCATAATACAGCACAAGTTCACCCAGAAACACAGGCACCCCGCTCCGGCTTAGAAAGCCCTCACAGCCGCCACGCCTACGCGTATCATTACCCGCTGCTCCTCGCCGGTTGCCTCCTCCGATGTTTTGGTCTCCTCGATTTCCTCTGACATACTTGCGAGAGAGGACACAATAAATATCTGCGCACAAACGCCGCAGTCCCACGGACCCGTACCCCAGCGAAGCGCTCTGTTAAAGTTGCTCCCACGAAAAGATGGCCGCCTGCCTTCTACGTCACTTCCGTGCCGACCGCCGTGTCGCCTGTCTCGTCCTGCCCTAACTTGCCCCCCCCTCCCCGTCTGGTGCAGAAGCACTGTGATGAGCACCCTGTGTGCACCTTATTCCCATATAACCTTGAAATGAAGCTTTTATACTACGGAGTTTGCTTATGCCCTGGATTGTTCATTGGACTTTGGTAATTGTCCCATTTTAAGGCATCCATCCATCTTCTTTAACCACTTATCCAGAGTACCTGGAGGAAACCCCTTGATGACACAGGGAGAACATGCAAACTGCACACATGGAATCCTGGCAGATACTTGAAGCAAGGTTATGAAATATTCAATAGTGGTACAGAGAAACAGGTACATTGGACTTCACTTGAACAGCAGATGTGTGCAGCAAGCTGCTGAAGATGTCTTTCTAGACAACAGTGACCAGAGTACTTCTGTATACTTTGGTCTGTAGGTTCAGCTGATACCAAATGCCTGAACAAACCCACAGGGCAAACCAGCCCCATCACTGGACTGACCCTGGACTGGCTGGAGGCAGTTGCAGAGAAGAAGATGGCGTTAAAACTAAAGAACATGCTGCACAGTTCTGTTCCATGCTTTTGACCTAGTTCTCTGTTAGAGCACCTTCAGCCCCGGCTCTTTATACCATGGATGAGTATGAATTTTCCTCATGTTTCCTCCTGCAGAGCAAAGTCATGCAGATAAGCTGGTTGGCTGCTATAACTTGCATGCAGTGTAAGTGCATGTGCCAGTGTGTGCCTGTCCTGGCTGTGCTCCTTCCCTGGGTCCTACTGTGAATGCACAGTTGGGACCTGCAACTGGAAGACGGACGGGCAAAACGGCCAACAACGTCCAGGTTCTTTCAGACCTTTATAATAAAAAAGGAAACACCAGAGAGTGTTTAAAGACTATTTTATAGGTTTATATCATTCAGATCTGAATATCAACATCAAAAATACATTGTATGATCTGGATATAGTGCAGTACTACGCCATTATATTTACTAAAACAGACATTACATCTGACAAACATTAAATATCAAATTAAATATTAAATAATTGACAAAATCATGTAAACACAATGCTAGTAGTTTTCTCCCCCAGTTACAGCTCCTTCATCTAGCTCGACTTCTTGTTATGCCTATGGTCAGATTTCCTGCTCCTATGCGCGGTGTGCAACAGCTCACATTGAAAAAGTGTGGCCTGAAATGAAATCTTCAACTTCAATCCCTTTTCTATTAAGGAATTAAATTCTTTGTTCGCAAGCGGTGAGCTGCACCCAGAAGTCAAACAGAGACTAGCATTTCCTCATTATCTGAGGGGTTAACGAGAACAGCGCCTCTTTGGGCCCCATGGGAGATGCTGGCAGCTTAGCGTCTCGGGGAGGAGGTGGGGGCGGGGGATTCGGTGAAGGACTTCAGCTCGTAGGCCGCGCCGCTGTCCACCTCCATGGACTTGCGGGAGAAGAGGAGTCGAATGTCTCTGTAGAGGTAGATCTTTCCGGATCTGGAGCTCTGAAACCTGAGCAAAGCAAAAGAAATGAAGTGCGCAGGGAGAATGATAGGCTGAGGTGGAGCAGGTGGGGGCCACGCAGTGATGCCCAGTAAGGGTGTGGTAAGGGCCTAAGATTCTCAGATAAAGACCCCTGGAGGTCATATCACCTACAGAGTGACGTATAATCCAGCACTATACAGGGAGAAGGCGCAAACTCCACACACCCTGGAAGTGTGAGAGAAAGGCACCACGCCACACTTAGGAGAAATACCCATCAGTCATCCACTCAATCCTTTTTGTTTTCCTTCAGTGCTAAACAATGCTAAGAAGTTTCCGAGCCGTCATGGTATTCTGGGTTGGTATTATAAGAAAACTTTTTCGTAAACTGAAATAAAATAAGACCTGAAAATAAAATAACTACAACTAAATAAAAACTATAAATATTGCTTCCGGAACTAAGTGATGTAAAAACAAACATCAAATACTTTGTTACAAGTTTTTAATAATACTTAGCTAAGTAATGATTTGTTTAATCTTTAATTATCATTAAGAATGTTTTGGTCATTTTGAGCACATTAGTACAAAATGCGCAGTGTGTATTCCAGTGGGGTTCTCTAAAGATCAGACACATAAAAATAAATAGCTCTACAACAGGGCTCTTCAAATCTGGACCTCGATTCCAAATCCAGGCCTTGTTTTCAGTTCTCCCAGGTAGTTAGTTTAATAATTACTGATTCTGATTGGTCAGAGGCTTCACACCTGGCTCACAGATAAAGGAAGGCTGGAAAACCAGCAGTGCTCGGACCTCGAGGAATAATATGGCTCTGCAAAATCCAGTCTATCCCTAGCAATAACATTACTAAAACTTAAGCTGAATCTAAAATACATAAAAGCTAAACATAAAAATATCTTTCAAATAAAAATGTTTAAAACCACACCTAAACCCAGAGGTGGAGATTTCAGGTCCAGAGAGTACAAATCCAGACCAGGATTTTGTTTCAACCAACCAGTTGAGTATAAAGAGACACAATCACAGAGTACTCAACTGGTTGGTTGAAACAAAATCCTGGTCTGGATTTGTACTCTCTGGACCTGAAATCTCCACCGTTGCTTAAAACTAAGTAAAACTAGTTTCAGATCTATCCATCCACTTTCTGTAACCGCTTGTCCTGTTCAGGGTACAGCCCAGGAGGGGGCACTAACCCATCACAGGGCACAAGGCAGGGAACAACCCAGGAGGGGGCGCTAACCCATCACAGGGCACAAGGCAGGGAACAAACCAGAAGGGGGCGCCAACCCATCGCAGGGCACACTCACAGACCAGATCTGGATTTCAAAATTGTAAATAACATAAAATAAAAGTTACATAAAAAAATCAGAACTTCAATAAAACTGACTCATGATCTGAGTGCTGTGGGGGGGATGGGGGGGCATGCAGAAATGCTGACCTCAGGTGGACGAGGTAGCGCAGGGTCCGCTGCGGCCTCGGGAGGAAGGGGAGGGGCTTCCTGCTCACATGGCCACATGGTTCACGCTTTATGGGCACCGAGAAAGTCCGCTGTCTCAGGAACGTCTGGTGGCAGGCTGGCATCTTCCTCAGGTCGTACACCACCACGAACATCTTCACCACCGTCTTGTTTGGATTGAATAAGGTCTGGAAGGGGGCAGAGGACAGAATCCATCATTTGCTTTGCATTCTTCTATGCAATATGACTGCCTTAAAGTTATTACAATAGGATAAATACTGAAAACAACTTCAAACAGCCCTTTTGTTCAACTGATTTCATTAGTAATGTACTGGATACAGACAGGCATCCTGTCACAGGTGTCCCCTGCCCTACTCCCAGTGCATCATGGGAAAGGTTCCAGGACTCTATACAAAGTGCAGAATATGAGAGCCACTTATGGGGCTCAGGGTCCGAGGGCAGAAAGTTGGCGATATCTGTGATAAACTACAGTGTTCTGGAACAGAGGAGTCCATCCTCACAGGGAGTATTGCGTCCTGGTACGGCAGCTGCACTGCTCAAGACAAGAAAGCTTTGCAGAGGGTGGTGAAAACAGCTCAGAAGATCACAGGCACACCACTCCCTGCAATAACGGACATCTATAGCATGCGCTGTCTCAGGAAAACCAAGAACATCCTGAAAGACCTCAGCCACCCTGCATTGGCACTTTTTACTTTCCTGCCATCAGGCAAGAGACTCAGGACAATTCTCACACGCACGACTCGATTCAGGAACAGTTTCTACCCCAGTGCCATCAGGCTATTCAACAATCAGTAATTGTGGTAAAATCCCTTACTGTGCAACTTCCTCCACACTATGCACTGTCACTGTATATTATGCACACTCAAACTATGCAACTTAGACTATTTATTATTATTATTGCTGCTACACCACTTTGTCTTTGTCTTCTATGTCTTGTGTGTATCTTGTCTTATGTTCTGTCTGTGTGTGGGGGGGGGTTTTCAAGTAAGAATTTCATTGTGCTCTGTACGCTGTACTTGGTACACATGACAATAAACTTCAACTTCAACTTCAACTTCAACTTCAACTTCATACCAAAGCATGACCATCATTTTACTCCCAGTGTGGCACATTCACTTTAATGTTTTTATGTTTTGTTGATTAAACATAACCAACTTAAATTATCTAAGCACATAGCTGTAATTCAGGTTGTGTTCTATATAAAGTTAGGTGTCATTAAAGGTAGCCTAATGAATAATTCAGATGTAGTTGGCTAATTCTTTTGGTAAACTGCCTGTTTGCACTATAAACAGTATGTCTGCTAAAGATTCAAAGTAACTTAAAAGTGTCAAAATAGCAGTATTGCTCAGATTGCTGTGGCACCCATAGAACACGTCACCTTTGATAATAATGGCACAGTTGTGGGCACATTTCTCAGTATTCATAGTCCAATAGTCAGCAATTTTACTGTCACCACTAGAGGGCACATTCTCCTGCACTTTGAACTAGAATCTACATTTTCCTACGGTTTTGTTTTCTGCTTTTAAACATTGTTTAGGAGTGATGTTCAGAGTTTATATCAAAGACCAGAATATTGGCCGATTCAGGCATTTTTAGATTGATCGGTACCAGTTACCACAGGCCGACCCAAAACCCGATCTATTTTACCCTCTGCCTATTTTGTACCTGTATCTTATAACATTACAGTGTAACTACACACAAAGGCACAGAGGTACCTCTCCTAAATGGACACTATGCTGTGTTGTTACAATCCCCAGCTTATTAAGCACAAGGATAGAAAACAACTTAAAGGTATTAAAATTTTAATATTCCAGGTCACCTGAAGACATTTTGTGTGTGTGTGTCCAGTGGGTGTCCAAAACACACGGAACTGCACCTTCCATTTATATATTACACTGCAGTATGTGCCAAGACCCCCCAGCAGACCCCCGAATGAAAGATACACTCACCACTTGTACTGTTCCTGATGGAGGCACTCGATAGCCCCTTTTACCGAGGGGCTCCAACTTTATAACACCCTGAGACAAGACACAGGGGAAGAAACATCGACATCTAAGCACAAAAAAACTGAGAAATGAAGCTGAACAGGAAATGACACCATAAACATGTATATAATGTCATTAATTTCTCCTAATTTCATCAGTCACCGTTCACTGCTTAGACATTAACAGATGCACGGCTCACCATGTAGGGGGAAGGCGCGTTGTCATCGGAGACGCTGTAGAAGGACACCTCCACGGGCAAGGTCATGTGACTGGGGCAGAAGGTCCCGCTGGCCCCCACCTCAGCCGTAAAGCCCTTCACAGTCCCCAGGGGCTCCAGGCGGTGATTCAGCACACACTCCTGCGGACAGTTTGCCCAGACATGTCCAGAGCTTGCCGTGTCATCTGACAGAGTGTGGTGCATCTCCAGGCTGGGCAAGCTGTCGAGCTATCTCTCAGTCTCAGGAGGCTGCTCATGGCTTTCAGAACACCTGCCACTCAAATGGTCCCTGCAAAGCAGTATTATCCAAACCCGGTCCTCGGGGGCCCACAGACGGTCCATGTTTTTACTCCCTCCCAGCTCCCCACCATGGACTGTCTGCGGCCCCCTTAGAAGCAGGTTTGGAAACACTGATGTAAACTATCTGAAGCTTTCCACTCTGCTTTCAAGTTAAGGTCTCAGCTGGGGTCTTTGGTGGAGTACTGGGAAAAAAATGCATGCAGGTTTCTATTTGTGGGTGTCTCTTTATGCTTATACCTCAAAGTTCCCCAGGAGGCTGAGGCTGGCCGGGGGGGCGCTGGTGCTGAACACCCGTGGTTCTGAGTCCCCTCCAATGTGCTGTTTCCTCAGGCACTCTCTGCACACACGGAACAAACTGCATTGACACCTGTACCTCACTGGAAAACATGGCCATGGTGTATCTGTGCGACTGCATGCAGCACAAATGCTGTGCTTCTGCTATATCCCCGCCCCCCCCCCCCCCCCCCTGCTCTCAGATAGACCCCACTGTCAGGATAGCTAGGACATGCCAAGTTTGGTTTCCCCAAATCCTAAGAGCCACGTTTGAGAAGATATGCTTTTTTGCACAAAATCCCAGCCAAACAGACAGGCATCCTGGTATTTTGGTTACAGATCCCCTCACAGGGTGACGTTACTCACACAAAAATGAGCGAGGGGAATGAGAATAAGCTTTATACCCGTGTCAGTGCGTCTGACCAGTCATGGTAACCAATAACTGTGCACATTCCCAAAATGCACTTGGAAATACCTTCTGCTGGACGACCAACGCAGACCCTTGCAGTGAGCCATGGAGGTGTCCAGATCAAAGCCCCCAGCCTGGGCTCTCCTCTGAGGAACCTTCAGAGGAAGAATAAAGGAAGGTGTAATTCTAAGGGAAAACTGTATTTGACATGTAGTTACAGGATATATTACATCAAATGCATGTACAAAATAAAATGAAGAAATTATACTTAGTTTATGTAATAGGTCTGTCACTGCTGAATACTAATAAGATATTAAGAAATACCTGGTACGCTTTAATTTCATAAACCCCAGATAAGAGATGGCACCAAAGTTGATGGCCACATGTGTGTGTTTCTGGACTAAGTTTAACAGGAAGTTCTACAGGAAGTGAGCACAGTAGCTGACAAAACTTTGTCACAGCCCTTGTGAGCAGATGGTATTGAGGAACAGTAGATAGCAGTTAAATTGAGGATCCAGGCTTGTAAGGTCCAGTCCCAGGAAGTTTGCTCTAGGTCTGTTCTAAATGTTTTATTCATTTATTTCACAGAATCACTTTAGCACTAAAGCCTGCTGTATAAAAAGCTAATCTGAATGATGAAGCCTGTCAAGTTCTACATAACACCTGTGGAAACGGCGTGAAATTAGAAAGGAACCAGAAGGGAGATAATGGGCTACACAGGCATGCTGGCTAAGGGGCTGGAGGACTGGCAGCTCCCAGGGCTATCCAGGCCTTACGTACCGGACTGGAGACCAGTGGAAGCCCAGTGCTCGGGTGGAAGGCTCTGCTTGCTGTCCCGTCTATGTAGGGACGGTTCTCCTTGTTCCAAATGTCGCACAACTTCAAAGGAGATTGAATGTTTGAGCCCAAAACAGAGGGATTAGTAAGCATCACAACAGAAAGGCTCACGCAGTGTCACATTAACGTCTCCTGTACACAATACTCCACAGCCATCTGGAAGTTTAAAACCTCATAAGGTAAATTGCACATTTTCACATCAAGTAAAATGTGTATTTTTGCGGATTTAAAGATATATATTTCAGATTCTCACTAAAAGTATTGAAATAGGGTCTGGTTGAAATTAACTTCATTGAAATAAACCATTATTAAATTACTTCACAATGACGCGCCTACTGTGAGGAGCGGTCTTGACTGTTCCTCAGGATGTGTCTGCACTCACCAGAACAGGTCCATTCTGGGTTCTGTCAGGCCCGATCTGCTGGTCCTGGCCACAGGCTCTTTGGTTAGGGATAGTCTGGTCCTGGTTCTCATTCTGCTCATGGCTGTTAAGCTGCAGGATTCCCTGGGTTTGAGGTTTGGAATCGACAGTGTCTTGATGCAGGACTGTGGCGTCTGTCATTGTCATGTGACCTTGGAGACCCACTGAGCCATCAGGACTTCCTGCTCTCTGCCCACGATCAGGAGAGTCCGGAGGACCCGTTTTGGCATTCTGTAAACCATTAGAGACTAAAGGGACTGAGTCTGCTGGTGTCGTTGGCTTTTCAAGTCTGACACAGGCTACATCCTGAGGTCTGGAGGAAGGGTCTTGCCCGAAGCCATGGGGAGCTTTCGCCTTCTTGGCTTCTAGTTCTGTGCAAATAGAAGATTCTGGGCTGTTAGCGATGGGGGAGTCTGTAATGGCTGAGAATGGTACCTTACCGGTGCAATCTTGAAGACGGCGATCACCCCAGGATTTGTGTGCAGATGGAGACGTGTCTTCCTTGAAGCTTTGACTACACCTGTTGTATGCATACCACAGGAGGTCTGGGACCAGCCAGAAGGAGTCCTCTGTGGCCCCTGCAGTCCCAGAGCTGTCTTCAGGGGGGTGCAGGAGCAGCTTCCTGCAGGTTGCTGGTTTGGTTGAAGGTCTTGACTTGGCATCCATTTTGGCTCTGCTATGCTGTTTGCTGGGGGTGTCGGAGGGAGAGGACCATCTCCTTCTGCCATCTTCCATGGTACCATGCTGTGGGCCAGAGAGGAACGAGGAGCCCCAGGGGAATTTGAGATGATGTGCCTCACAGCTTTCGGACATGGTATCTGGGATGTGGGTGGCTAAGGGATCACAGTAATGTAAACGCTGGGCAATACGAGTGATGACTTGCTGTCGTTCATGAAGCAGTGAGCCAATCAATGAGCTGGGATGCCCAGGTGGGTGTGACCTGCAGCCTAAACTTGGTGTACCCAGTAGATCTGCCAAGTAGAGGGATTTGAATGCTCTAGTGAGATCTTCTGGAGCTGGTGCCTTTAAGCCTTCTGTACTATCTGATGAGATCTGACAGCCCTCTGCAGGGTCAGTATCCGGGGTGCTGCTCAGCTTGGAATGGACCTGGTTTAGTATCTTGCCTGGAGGCGGGGCCTCGGAGGGCAGGTATTTCCTGGAGCTTATGGTGCACTTGAAGAGCGGTGGAGATCCCTGGGTCTGAAGTTGCTCCGTACCAGGAGCAGACCTGTGCCTCCAGTCCCGGCTTCTCGTGCTCTGCAGGGCCAGGCTACTATGGACACTGCAGGTCAGGACTGGGTAGTTGGGCTGCCGAGGCAGGGACTGTACACACACTCTCAAGGCCACGCTGTGCGACACGTTGGGCACCGGGAAGGCGTGCTCGGCTGGTGGCTGGGAAAATCTCCAAAGCAGTCGCTCCTCGGCCGAACTAACCCTGCGAGAAAGATGAGGCAGGGCGTGGGTCAGGCAGCTCCCCACGGACCACACTGGGCCGCGGATCTCAGCCGGCGGCTCACCTGTACAGGATGTTCCTGGGAACGAGTCCGTGGGATGCGCTGAGCCAGGCGCTCAGCTGGGAGAAGAACACGTAGGAGCGGACGGCCAGGAGCAAGGTCTTTTCCTCGATGAAACGGTCGCCGCTCCTGCAGAGGGAAGCCAGTCGTTATTAAACTTCTCAACACAATGAAATTTATTACGAATGGAGGTTCTTCAGCAATTTCATCATAGCTTGCACATTTGACTATAACCCACGTATATGGAAATTGGAAGCTGGGCTTCTGCAAGGTTTATCGCCTGCTCTAGACTTCATTAACTCTTGTGCAGTCCTTGTTGGAGACTCTGCTTTCAGCCTCCCTGCTACACATATTCTTCAGACAGAAAATGCAGCACGTGACTAGCTGATACAGTCCAAGTTCCCAGTTCTGGCTGAGCCTTGCAGCAAAGAGGTTTAAATAGATGTTTGTTTCATGGCTTGTGGTGGTATCAGTGCTTTGTGGAGACCTGTCACTTTGCTCAAAGGGTTGCAATGAGAGATGTTATCCTTGTCATCAGCATTGTGAAATACTAGCTGATAAGAGGGAAAACTGAAGCTGTGGGTGATACTACCAGAAAAGATGGGCGGGGCTTGACTGAGACACAGTATAGGGATTAAACACCAAACAAAACACACTGCCTGGGCACTGGCTGCAGGGTCCATCGCTCCAGCAGCAGCGCGTCCTGTTGAACAACTGGGTCGTCCAAGTCATTGCCAGGAGCCTCACTGCTGTAGCAGCAGTCAGGAAGCAGCATGACCTCGATCATGATGGGCAGCTTGTCCCTCCAGAGGACCACCACCTCCGACTGCGTCTTCTTAGCTTGACAACACTGTCAGGAGGGCACAGGAGACACCATAAGCCTTCTGAGAAGATCATTCTCAGGGTAATACAACACGAAAACAATACAAATCAATCAATCAATCCATCTGTCCATACGTCCGTCCATTCGCACTGTTCTAAATGCTTATCATAGCAATACAAATCTCCATGTACAGAAACATCTGGCCATAGTTTTGCATTTTGGTATATTATTCTTGTTAAGCTGTACTGCAGTGTGCCTGCTGGTGGGTGGTCTTTGGGATCCTCATTCCCTGCCTCTTTTGTCCTCCGCTCACCCCACCTCACTCCTCTTTCCTAAGCCAGTGCTGCGCTGAGAGCCAGTAGTACTGAGGATGAATGCTAACAGCCTGCAAATGAACTCCCTGCTTGCCGTATTCACAGACGGAAGCCCCTGAGGAGGTTCTGTTCACCATCAGTCTCACTTGATTAATATTTAAACTTTATTGGGGAGCCAGAAATAAATCTTCTGCTCCAACAATCTATTGGGTCTTGTAGTTATTTACCTCACCTACAACACAGAGGTCAATCACCCCGGTTACACCCAGAAGAAAACTGTTAGGGCTTGATTCCCAATACCGGATGTTAATTTCACCAATTTTTTATTTTTTTTTAATTTAGCAGCCCACGTTCCGGTGACCCCAGTCTCCCCCGTACCTGCGGCAGTTTGTCACTGCACTGGTGCTTGGTGGGGAGAGGCTGTGCAGTCTGAGCTGGGGGGCAGTGGGGCCCCTCCGTGCGGCCCTTCAGGGAACATTCCGGTGTGCGGCCCTCTATGATGAGCAGAGCGAGGAAGACCAGGAACTCCTCCGCGTCATACTCAAAGTACTCCTCGGGCGTACCTGCAAGACACGAGGTCCGGGGGAGTTGAAGTAGGACTTTCCAGGAAAATACGAGGCCCCCTAGTGGAACACTATGCTATGGATGCTATGGCTAGATGCCGTTGAGGCACAGGCCTGCAATACCTACTGTATCGAAAGCTTCAGACTGAAAAGTTTGTAAAACATTCAAGTTTCTCATCATGGAGGTGGCCTGGAGCCTACCCCAAGAAGCACTGGGCAGGAGGTAGGGGACACCATGGATAAGATAACACAAGGCACATGCTCACACGAGGCGATTCAGAGACACCAACCAGCCAGAGAGTCTATAGACTGTAAGAGAAAACTGACATGATACTGAACATGGAAACTCCTCAGAGTGGAGGATTCACACCCCCAATGCTAGAGGCATGAGGCAGCAGTGCTGCCATAGGGCCACTCTAATTATTCCCATGAAACCCTAATAAATATCAAGGTGGCTTGTGTAGGCACAGGAGTGACTGTACTGTGCCTACACAAGGGCAAACATCCAATGTGTCAAACCAACAACGGCATATTAATCCTGGGCAGACTGATGTGACAGGGATCATTTTACTGTGCCTGTACCTTGTCGTTACCCTGCTGTTTATAAACGTCATGAAGGTCAATCCCTGTTATTTATCAGGACTGTGCCTTCACAGCCGTTCTGTTAATTGTCTTGCTCAGATGTGCAACAGTGGTGCTTCGTTTGATTCGTACACAATACCATCTGCCTAAGGTCCAACCACTTAACCATGGTTACTTCACAGCAGTGCAGTCAGAGCAGGGATCATATAGGCCTGAAGGTCTCCTAACAGACAACCACAGGCCATTTTTATGCATGGAGAGCACTGCTGCTATCCAGACGCCTCCCATCAGACACAGGAGCTCAGAGGTATGACGGATCGGACTCTGCGTATCAAAGGTTTAACCGCGCGGCTCTCTGCACAAAGGGGGGCCTGTTTCTTTACCCCCCTGCGTGCTCTCATCGCTTCTCTGATGCGCGCGCTGCCAGACCGATCGCCGACCCAATCAAAGGCGATTTTACGGCCTGCTTCAGCAGCATACGGTTCGTGGGCCGTGTCGAAGAGACCCAGGCCACACTGAACGACAGGAGAGCCACTGCTACCGAGAAGAAACTAAAGGCTGATCTTCTGACCTGTAGAGGCCTGGTTGGGGCCGCTCTGCTGGCACTGTGCAAAGCCTCATTAGAATCATTTCCAGCTGAACAGCACAATGATAGCAACAAACCACTCTGTTAGAAATAAATAAACCCATTCAAGATTCAAGTGGTTCATTTTTAGCCTTTATGCTGCGGCTGGTTTTACTGCTCAAACCAGGTGACTGACATTTTCAAGAACTCCTCTCAGGAGAACAGCACTCTGTGTGGGCTACACCTGTATAATATGCATAAATACTTGTTTGCCCGTTCTAATTTAAGTTACGCTTACAGCTAAATGAATATACAGCCATAGTGTTATGTAGTTATATTCAAATATACATTCTTCCAAGCAACTTCCTGCAGGTCATGTGGGAATTTACCCAGGATGCACTGCTGGAAGACATGACCACAGCACGACATGGATCATCATCCCGTTTAAAAATGCACGCTGCAGGTCTGCAGGGCATTTGCACACATAAAGTAAAATACATTCTTAAGTGCTGAAGACATAAAGGTAAAATGTAACAGGCTAATTTACCATCCTAATGTATTAGATGCTGATATTCCTGCTGTTCTCTGCTTAATGCTCTTATTTGCTTTGGAGGTAAGATGCTGGCTAAGAAATCGAACCAGAAATGCAGACCATGGTATAAAAAGCGCTTCAGGAAACAGAGGGACCTGCAGCCTTCTGAACAGACAGCAGTTAGGCTGTGTACCTCTTACGCTGTAGGAAATGTGAAGGTGGACAGCAGGCTGAGCTAATGCTGCCGTATCGCCACCGCAGGAAGCCCCCCAGGGCCAATTTAACAACCCAACCTCAGGGGATTCACACAGCAGCATCATTTTCTTGCCCCTGGTGGAGGAGAGACCACTGCCCAGCCGTCCGGCTTAGTTTCATACTCTCCTTCTGATGCCAAAATTAGCCCTTCCTCTGCGCTAAAGGATCGAGCCACGCAAAGCACTTTAACGCATCCTGTGTAAACAGCCCTGGGAGCACTTCGCCTTAGGTGGGTGACAGAGGATGTAGCCGTGTACAGGCCAGAGACGCGCTGCTTACGCCGCTTTCAAACAAACAGGTATGAGCACTTCTGATGAAGCATTTGTTGGGAGGTGGAAGCCCCTTAATACTGACTACAACATTCTTATTTTGAAGAGAAACAAGCATTAAAATACTCTTATCCTTAGACTCATTAAATACTAATGCGAGTATAAACATGCTGAAACTTTTCATTGCCAAATAATCTTTTAATAAATGCTTCAGGATCGTAAAGCAGATTATAAAGCAGAGCACAATCAGCCAGTGTTGGTCAGCATTTTGACAACCTGATAGCATCTGCATACGGCGTATTCCCTAAAAATGGCTGGATTTGAATCTTTGAGGACCTGAGCTCCCAAACAAGCATTAGTCACAATTCAACATAAACTACTGCATTAAGCATATGATTTGCAGAACCTTGTCCAGCTAACAACACAACAACAAGGTGGAGTACCAAGAGATGCTCTTTTTGAGTATATGTCCGTCCATCCATCCAGCTTATCCAGACTATATTTAAATATTCTCCCTTCCATGACTGAGTCAGCAGACACTAACTATGACTGACAAGCACTTTGCACAGCTGTAGACTTTGTGCAGGTAGGAAGCGTTTTCGCTTACTTGGCTTTCTCGATTCCCATCGGCAGTCCGCCATCTCACAGGCCGTGAATCAGCTCCCAGCTCTGTCACTCGGCCGCTGAAGCCACATCAGTGACACACAGGGCACAGCCGGTGGCCAGGAGAGTGGACCGGGCATCTCCGGGACGTCTCCTCACGTGTGTAGCGACTGCTCTGACAGGTGCGGGAGACCTCTGGCACCGCTCAGCCGTAACATCACCAATAAAATCACCAGTTCATTGCGGGACGAGAAGCCCGCTGCACGACGGCAGCAGAGAGCTTTCTGCACAGCAGCAGCCCAGCTAGTGGCTCAGACTTTCTGTTTGTGAGGTGGTGTCTTACTCCCACTTAACCTGCAACTCGAGATAAACATGTCTCCTATACTTCCAGGCTCTGCTATGTTAGGCTGTGGGATTATAAGGCTTCTGGACAGATTTTTTTTGCCCTCTGGGGCAGGGAAGCCAAACGACACATCGCAGCCGTTGTTGCTGTCTGTCGCCCCTGTAAGGCAAGGCCTGCTGGCTCGGGGCAGGAGCAAAGGTACAGCTCGCCTTTGTTTAAGGGCTGCTCTCCTACGCGCTCTGAGCATGTGCACAAGGCAGCTGTCGATATGGGGGGAGGGGCCAATGGCAGCAGAGAGGCTCCAACAACAGCTCCAGGCTCAGTGTCCTGCTGCCAAGACGCCGGTGCTTTTGCCGAAATGTGTCAAAGGTAAATGACTTTATTTTGGAAAAAACAGACGAGTGCTTAAAGGAGTTCACTGAAAGTGTACATGCTTCTGTGTGTGCGAGTGTTCACTCGCAAAAAACATACACCCAAGGGAGACATAAAGGCCACTTTGTTGTTATTTTAATAAAATAAAAGAAAAAAATATATACACAACCTTAAAGCATCAACATCTTCAATAACCAACAAAGCGAACATCCATTTGGAAGGACGAGGTGGCTCTGGCAGAGCTGGCAGCTGGAGGTCTTGCCGCAGTTAATTTACACTGATCTAATCTCAACGTAGCCGAATGGAATGTTCCAGAGCTTTGGGGGGTGGGGGGGGACGTCCAGCGCAACGGCGAGTCGCGGCCAGGAGCGATAACAAAACGGAGAAATCATCACGGCACAGGAACGGGCCGGGGGCGGTACCGCCTGGATTTATGAATATTCAGAAGGGTTCTAGTATCATTTACATATTAATGTGCGTCAGATAATGAGTCCAGGGATGGGGAGCACACAAAGGAAAATAGACACATTGTACCAAATTTACTTATTATTTTAAAGTAGATATGCATATTATTTGAAGACAAGAGACTGAGAATAAAAGACATGAAGACAAATACAAGTCATATAAAAACCTGCGTTAAATGGACCCCGAATGTTACCCAGAAAAGCAAAACGCTTACGATGACCCAACGCAGCAGATGGGCAGTCACCGAGAAGCACAGCATTGATTAAAGGACCAGTTTAGTGCTACGCTCCTAAAGGAAAGATCTAATCTAGGGAGGCTGAAGCCTCAGCTCATGCCTGCACTCTTACGGCTGCCAGCCCAGCTCCCCCCCCCCCCCCCCCCCCCTTCTTCCGCCCCCCCCCCCCCCCCCCCCCCCCCCCCCAGAGTCTCTGTGGCTTCAGTGTCACCAGGAGCTATTTAGAGAGATGCAGCAGGCGATGGCCGGCACTGCCCCTCTGAGCAGCAGGAGCAGGTCCTGCAGAGCGTGGCCCCTCCCCCGGAGCCAGCCTCCACCAATCCCGCAGCTGCAGGCTGCCAAACACGTGCTGGACGGACATAAATACTGACAGTTGGGGAACTTCAGCCATGTGATTCATCTGTTTTCTGTCTGCAGTGAGAGACGCAGGTTCATGTTCACACTGATATTGTTTAATGTATGAGACCCAATCCATAATATCCTCTATCTTTGTCTCAGTTCCACCAGAAAAAGTTTCTTTTCTCATTTTTGAGTAAAGAAAGGATTTACCTTTCACACAGTGCCTACAGGCATCCGTTTGCATAAACACACACACACACACACACACAGTGTTACTTCTACTTGAAACCAGGCTCCTCTGTCACAGATAATGTGGCCATTGTTCAGACATGCAGCCCAAAGAGTTTATAGCAAAATCTGTCCTTATTTTTGCCGTTATTTTCACTCCTTTGCTAATGCCACAGATTTACACGGCAGAAGAATTTGTTTACGCAACTCTTGGGCAGACTATAAAACAGCATATCAGCAGTCACAGCAATGTTATGTGGATGAAATTACAAGGATAGTTAATAACAATTTATTCAGGGGGAAATGCAATCAAAAGGTCTTTCCACGAGGTTGTAGGACACACTGAGCCCACTGCTGAAACAGGAAAGTGTGACGTGGTTCGAACAGCAGAGAGGTCACGACCCCGTTAATGCGACTAATGCCCCCGTAAGCCGGAGATCTCCATCAATGCCGATGCAGACGGCTGAGACAGTAGTGTCACATCACAGACACACCAGGTGTCCACCCTCCCCAGCCCTGCTGGAAAGGGCAGCCGCTCTTTCTGTGACCATGAGCAGAGCTATCATCTGGCTCCAGCACAGTCCCCATCTCTAGACTTTAAACCGGGATTCCCCCATTCCGGTCTAGGAGGGCCAGTCTGTAACACAGTTTGCAGATTTCCTTGCTCAAACACACATACTAAAGCTGATAATTGGCTGGTGAGTTGAATAAGGTGTGTTTGAGCAGGAGAATCTACAGCCTGTGTTGCAGACCTGGCCCTCCAGGACCGGAACTGGGGAGCCCTGATTTAAATGGTACAGGGCAAAAAAAAAAAAATTATCATTAAAATGTGATGCCTAACCAAGACAAATGGATTGCAAAAGTTTTCTGAGAAATATTGCAATAAGACTTCCAGGAATATCTTATTAAAAATTAACCTCACATTTAATTATTTACACGCAGGTGTTCCAAAGAAAGCCCTGTTTTACTTTTATCATGGATCTTGATGCAGGTTTGGTCTAAGTTCATTTACATGCTGTGTTATCATCACCTTTCCATTGTGTCGGATCCCTATCTGCTCCTCGTCCATCAGGCTAAGCAGCACACGCGACTCCAGCATGAGGCAGCAGCTTTTGGGTGAACTTGGCTGGGGTGGGGTTAAATGTGGGCAGCGCCCCCCTGCCCATGCCTGCTAGCAGATTATCACACGCCACGTGCGGGGCTCAGAGATCCCGCTGAAGCAGTAGGTATAACAGGCTAATTTACCCTAATGTGCCTGTCCCACTGACCTATAAACAGAAAGGCCACTTTACACCCCAAAACAGATGCTGTGGGGGGGGAGGGGGGGGAATTGGGAGCATGAGATCTGCCATGTACAGATGAGAAGACAAAAACAAACAGAACTGACACGACGCACCAAAGCTGAGAGGGAGTGCAGCTGCCGATTGCTCACAAGGAACACAGTTAGTGTCTAAATGGATTTTGATATGTAGGCACCCAGATTTATGACTCATTTAGCAAGTATTTCATGCATAATAAAACAGGCGTGCTCAAAGCGGCGTGATAGTGTTTGATGTAAAGCAATGGACAGCATGGTAAATACAGGCCCATTAGAGTCAAAGGTAGCAGGATGGAACCGTCCCGGGCGGTTCTGGTCGTCAGATCAGCCAGGACGGGCCGGGCTCATCACGGCTCATTTCAGTCCTCCTACTGCTGCATGTTTGGACCACTTAATGAAAATCCTGTCGGCATGGCCATTTTTGTTGGGGGGGGAGGGGGGTGCCCAATTGATCATGTCATCTTTCAACAATCTCACTTTCCCTCCCTTGCGAGGACTTCAGGGGCAACGGGACACAAACGCAGGACGGTGGCTCCGCCCCTCATCTCAGCCCAGGTCACTAAGCATAGCAGGAAGACAGCTCTGCTGAGGTCACATGTCACATGACCTAGATGGGCCACTCATCTCAGAGAAACAAATGATGCCTGACATTGTCGTTCATTGCTCAAGACCTGCAAGACTTGCAAATCTGTTGATGTGACAGTGATAAGACATGGCAGAACACAGATCCAATGGAGAATTCCACAACATGCATTGGTTAAACACCCAAAGACAAAAACATGACCATGGGAGTTTTACTTACACAAAAATGTTCTGAGGGCAGAAGGAAACATGCAGGAGATAACCAATCAGATTGTAGGGGTGGTGGGTCCAAGCAACTACAGACATGACCAACCAATCAGATGTCTTGATCCTGTCTCCTCTAGATGCTTGGTCCCACCTCCTGTACAACCTGATTCATTCAGAGAGAACCAATCATTGTTCCTTCTGCCCTCAACATTTTTGTGTAAGTGAAACTCCCACAAGCCTAAAACATCCTTCAGTGAGGCACCAGTGTAGACCTACAGTGAAGAACTCAAACGTTCTTTGTTAACTTGCAGACAAGACTGTGTGTTTTAACTGCTGGCACAAAGAATAGCAAAGACAATCACAGCATGAGAAAAAGGCTTGCATTCACCGTGGTAAGACTAATGAAGAGAAACTGGTCACTAGGACAATAAAGCACAACGGTTTCAGCTTGTGAGCCAAACCGTGGTCAGATTTCAGTAAATTGTCCTGCATATACTCTAGTCCCAGCAGTGTCAGGCTTGAAAGGCCAACATATGGTATAGTGTGTTCTTCTGGCACATGATAACAACTGATGGGATGGCCAAGGGTGGGGGTGGAAGTGGGGGTGGGGGGCTTGTAGATCACCTGCTTTTTCCCAGCTGGGTCAAAGGCAGACTTCAAATCCTCATAGCAACAAGCCCTGATTGGACAGGAGCCCCAAACTGATCTTTTTTTCAGTTTTAATTTTTCTGCCAACTTTCAATAGTCTGCAAGTCTGGAAACAGGCACAGCTTCTGTGAACTTAGCTGCCCTGTTCCCAAGGAAAAAAAAATGTGGCCAGTAGTTAAGATTTAATAAGGCACTAATCACTAACACGCTCTGTGTTAAAATCGCTCATTTTCTTAAAGCCTTTTAAAGACACAAGCAGGCTATCATTAGACGGCGTCTTGGGTAAGGGTGCTGAAGGGCTTCGCAGGAAGCCGCCGGGGTGATAAGGAGACGCCGTGAGACGTGGAAAATCTGCATGCTGCATTACTGTAATTAAAAAAGACAGTGAAGGATGGATAAGGGGCCCCCTGCGGATCTGCTGTCAGGCTCGCCGAGTTGGGTTACGTGGAGAGTCGCCCATCCGTCACACGCAGTACAAAGCGCCCCTCCCTCAGCCCGTCTGGCTGGCCTGGAGTTTCCCCAGTGCGACGAGAAGCCTCCCCCTGAGATCCGCTTAACACGAAACGTGTGCGAGTCGACACAGGCTGGGTGCCTCAGACACTCTGGAACTTGAGCTGCGAGGACATGCGAGAAGATCCCGACTCTCTCAGTTAAATGCGAAAAAAACACAAACAAACCAAAAATGTGACATTACTGCACATTGCTGGTTTGTTGCCACAGCCATATCCCATGAATCTCTCCCTAAACTATTTCTGTTCAATTTTAAAAACACACATTTACACTCCAGGTCTCTTTACAACGCCTGCTATTATGTCTGCTTGCAAGGCTTTCTGGATTTACTTGGCTACAGATCCACTCTAAAATACTGCTGCATGTTTCACTCAGGGAATCTGTTATAAAATCAAGCTAAACTGGACTGAACTGAATGACACAGAAAGACCTCAGTCTAACTAATGATTTATATGATTTACAGCCTCTTTCACTGGTACAAACGCTTAGATCTCACTGCAGTTAGAAATACAATAAACACGGCAATGAAGGATCACATGTGGACAAACATCAATTCTATATTCCCATTTGGGAGTCAGAACTCATTAGAAGCACAGACCAAATGAATGACTCTGACTGAATTACCACGAAAAAACAAACTTCAAAGCAAGCCGAGTAAAGTCACACTGTATATGCAGAGCAAACGATCCTGACACATTCACAAAGACCGGAAAGGCAAACTCTGAGAACGGAGGCTTTGAAGGATCTTTCATTTCTGCTCTTAGAACTCACGCTCCCGTCTTCTCTGTGTAGCACACCAGTGTCAGTGGACAACCTCGCAATCGTTCAACCGAGATCATCTGATCAAGGATTAGGATTCACCGTGCTGGACTGCCCTTTGACCTTTGCTAGCTTGCTCTTGTTATCTGAGCCCCCCCCCCCCCCCCCACCCCCACCCCCACTTCAGGAGACATATTACACTGAG